TTCACATGGTGTTACCTAACCAAAAACAAATCTTTCAATTAAAAAAAAAAACAAATGAACCAATAAATTTCGCCTGATTCCAAACACCCATAAAATATCACACTTCAAAAACTCATACTTCTTTGAAAAAAAAAGCAAAAATCCAATCAGCTCTTACGAAAAAAGTGAATAATTAAAAACGCCTCACAATAAACTAACCTATACGCATGTGCATCAGCATATCGACCACAACCAATATTACCGCATATTAGACAAATCCATAAATCTGTTGTTTTACCGCAATCGAAACATTTCTGATCGGGCGTCAGCTCGGGTGTTTGACCATGACGACAAACTGGACAACTGCAACAATATTTACACAATATTTGATATTATTATAAATACTACTTAAAACTATAACTATTCCAACCAATGTCCTCTCATTCGTATTATATTAACAAGTCACTAGCTACGGCTCAAGAAAACAAAACTGAAAACAATACGACAGAAATCATCTTGAGTAACTAACGTTGTATCGGCCCATTGCTGAAGGCATTTTGCATGAAAAGTGTGATTACACAGAATTGTCAACACACTATCGTCCATANTCCATACGTTCCAAACAAACCGCACAAGTCGGCAATTCGGTCAACCCTTCCAACGGTATACTGCCACTCGCCTCCTCATGAACCTGAACAATTGCTTACTTTCAATTCTGAACACATGAAAATTTCGCACACTTGTTCACATCATATAACTTTCAACTTCTCTGCGGGAATATACCACTGCTAATGACATCAATAGAATTATTGTAATGCAAAAGTTCAATTTCAGCAAATATAAAATGATCCCTTGACTCTCAAACATTCAACAGAGATTTCTACTATGTTTTGGTAGTGTTATTAAAGGTTTACTGTGTTTGAATTTTTTCAAATCAATGATACTGAATATTCCAATCATTACCTCGTCATTATCTCTATGTTACATTTCTATAGCAAATCACTTCAGCCAGCAGAGTAATCATTGACACTTTACACATTTTCTTGATCGAATGGAATGTTCAAAAGAATTTCGGACAATTTGACTAAAAAGAAAAAAAAACGAACAGATTCAATCGATTCCACGAATGTCAACGAACATCGCTCCGGCTCAATTTCGTTGTATCGCGCATTATTACATTCTTCGTAGAACACCATTGCAGCTTCCTTCAATTTTCAGACCTACTAATAAATAAATAAAAAATAAATATACATACTACCAGTGTAAAAACAAATCTCTGAATATAATTATCCGTTCATATGAATAGACATAAGATACATTCACTTTAAACAATGATTCTATGAACCTTTATCATTCACTGTTTCAAAACGCCTTCCTTATTACAAACATGTCAGCTTACATATCCAGTTGTTCACATCAACATCAATTAACAAATGAAAATTGCGTCCATTGACAAAGGGAATCCG